GAAGAATGACCTCGGAGGATTAAAAACGTTCAAATGTGATTCGTGCGAAGTGGAGATGGATCGGGACACGAACGGTGTCAGAATATCTTGCTCAAATATTTGACAGAGGGTCAGGCTTTGGCCTGACTTTGGGGGATTCAATTTCAAGGGTAGAAGAAATTATGATATTAAACATTTCATTTGAATCTATGTAACGCAACTATGATGCAATATATTTGAGCTAGAATTTACGTCTCTTATAATATCATCAATCTTAAACAGCTATCTTCACCATTCCGTTCAGTGTTCAGTTAGAACTACACTTGTATTTTGAGGCAGGAATTTTGTATCAATTTCTTTAGATTATACTATTGATAATACAAATGACTTTTTTTTAAAAATTGGTCGTAATTTAAAGCGTTTGTAAATACATCGGCACTTTACTTTTTCCAAAACCGTTATCTCGTGTCTCAAAATTTTAGACGGATAATGGGAAGATGTTTCAACAATTTCGTTCGTTTGGTGGTCTGTTACAGATACAGTACAGTATCAAGTGAAATTATTAGATCACTGGGTCACTAGAAAATAATCAAATTTCGACTGACTATTACCGCCATGGGACTCCTAAAGCATCGAATATTTCTATTTCCGTTCTCTGAGCAATCAGCCCTTGGGAACTATTTTCATACAAACCATGGTTGCTAAGTTTCATTTTCTATGTGAAAGTTGAAAGAACGTATGCGATCAATAAGTTCAGCTTGTAAACAATTAAGTATTCTAAAAAATGTGACTGCTACTTTTTTACTAGCAAGCAATCTCATGCTTCGATTAAATATATCATTTCCGGTGTAGGATAATAAGGCAGCACCGAGTTCTTTATAGGGTATCATGAATAAATCTGGAATTCAAATATGTCATTAATTCACGGAATGCCCGAGTGGATGAGGCGAATGTTGGTCAACGTTTACACACCCAGCCTGCGATATTTTCCTCCTGGCATTCTGCAAATGCCCATATATTTCGAAGAAAGGTCATCACCACTGGATTGAGACAGGTCATGAGTCAAGAGTCCTTGATCATGTAACGAGTCAACCAGCTTTTGCAGAATGCCTAATTAAGGATTTGAAAATTGAATTGTGAACGAGAATCAATAATTCATTTACGCATTCTACTAAAATACAAACAAACTCTACCCAAATGAATACTGCCATCCATGTCGTTTCTTGTTATTAAGATATCAATATCTCCACATGTTAATTTTCCCCTCCTATAAGATCCGACGGTGAATAATTCCAGCCTTGAATCAACTTTGTGAGCAATGCTTTCTACTGCTTTCGAAATCCTTGTCACTTCATCGCGTGGTATTCGCTGTTGAAGATCCTTTCAAAGAAGGTGTGAACATTGCGTGTGAAGCTGAACGTTGCAGTAAAAGTTTATGAAAAAAATTTTTACTTCAAAGCATTCAATTCCAGCCTTCTGTGCGTGCGTTAACTTTACGTTCTGTAAAATGTCTTCAAACGATCTGTATCCCTTGGCGTACCACTTCAAGGCCAACGACGGTCCAACACCTTGAGGCAAAAAAAAAAATTCGCATTTAATTTTTCATAGGGTGGAATTTGGTACCATTATAATTACCGTGTATCGCACTGAACTTTCCAATAACGCGATCATTCTTTGAGATGCTTTCAATACGTCTTAAATTTCCTGTCTCAATGATTTCCGCAATCTATTGTTAAATACAATCATAAGATCTCAAAATTTTTGATAACATACATATGTTAATAACTCGGTGTTACTTTTGATGCAATACTATCTCCGATTCCATAAATCTTTTTTGCCTCCTCGTATGAAGTTATAGGCTTATGACGCATCCTTAATGCAGAAATGGCTTTTCGATAACTTATAGCTCGCCATTCATCTTTTCTCATCTGGTAGTGATCCAGCAAGATTTGAAGCTGTAAAAAATAAATGAATAGGAAAATAGGAAAATAGGAAAATTCGGAAAACTTCTCAATTCGTATAGTGTAAAAAACAGAACGTGCGAACATATCGGACTCACCAACCTTATCGATAATTGACTTGTTCGGATTATTATCTACCGCTTCCGAGGTATTCTTATGCATGCAAATAAATGAGCCTTGTCCCTTGAGTTGCTATACAAACAAATGCAGGAACATATAAGCCTCGATGAGAAATTATGAGATATAAGTCAAAATAAAATACAAAACCTTTGAACTAATCGTTGAAGGACCAGAAAGTTGCTCGTCGCATGTAGACAAATACGTCGGATCCCAGGACGAATTGAAGTCTACATCGTTATTTCCAATAACCTCGTTTTGAATTAATAACATCGATGCCTCATTTTCCAAAAGTCTTCCCCTAAGAAATTCAATTCCCTCATCTTTTTCCTCGTCCAAGTAGAGGCCCTTGATAGAATTTTTTTATTTCGTGTTTCAATTGATGGCACATATTTAAATGATTCAAAAACTTTGTTTACCTCCTCGGTAAGATGCTTGGCCTCTCTGATCATCTCCAACAATGGGTCATTAGAATCAGAGATCATGTGGGTGTTCTCGGTAGAGGAAGGTGGTAATATGGGTAGAAGGGTAAGGCTATCACTACTGGACTCTTGCGATAGTGAGGGAGAGCGATCTCTTTCTGGAGTTAAAGATAAAGTTTTCTTCTTAATCCTACGATAAACATTTGAATTATTTAATTTCAAAGTAAAATTTAAAGCAGAGAATACTGATTTTCATGGTTTGACCTCGATAATAGATGTCATCACCTTTTATTTTCGCTATCTTCCTCAACCACATTATCTCGTATTCTCTTTGCACCAGTCGTTGGGGAGTTTGACGAACCTTTGCTTTCTTTCAAATCGGATTCCTCCGATAATGACACAACGTAAAAATTTTCATCCGCAAGTTTGTTATACTATGTTTATAAAGAATGTGATTTCATAAGATGACTTTCTGAGTCATTTTATATTTATTTTATCATTTTCCCACTTACAGTAATGGACATGGATATCCAGTTTGGTTGAAGGACAAGAACTCCCTAGATGGAAAATCATTTGATTCTTAAATTCGCATGTTTATGATATGCGAAAAATATTGAAAAAAGATGCAGCAATACCTCAAGGCATTTCTTACTAATAAGACCTAAGGCATCGTGCACATTTTTTCCCGGAAGTGAGGTGATCACGTGAGTAACATTTGAATCGAAAGAATCGACTATCTTTCCGCCTTTGGCCTTTACTTTTTCTTTCATCAAGTCCAGGCGAACAGTGTCGATATTATTTCGAATGAACAAAATATTGAGTCCGGAAAAGATCCCACGAGAGTCGGAAGGTGGAGAGGATGGTAAAGTAGAGTTGCCTGAGTATTTCTTTTTCCTCCCACGCTTCGGTAGAGGATTTTTCTCTTTTGATGTGATGGGCACTCTTTGCGAAGGCACGCGTATATCCAATCCTTTCTTGAACTTAGAATGTTTCGTTACGTTACTGGTGATATTCGGTTTGTTACTTGGCAAAATAAGTTTATAAATGGTCTTGGGTTTACTTTCACGTGGTTTTGCCTTGAACGAAAGGGATGATAATCGTATCTCGGGAGCAGGCAGAGAAGCTTTTTTGCAAGCCTGTCGATCATGGTCATGTGATTGTGATTCGATAACAGTATCATCGACATCTTTAATGACATCTTTAACGATATCATCAAGTTTTCTTTTATTTGGCGCTAACTTTACATTTGACATCGATTCAGCATCAATCAAGTCTGTTAGGATGTCACTATCTTGTGATGAGATTATACCCAAGGCGTCCAATCCATTCATTAGCGATGAACTTAGTTGCGACGAGGCACGTTCAGTTGTCATAGCTGGCGTCGCCTCTGTAGGCATAAAACTTGCATCTTTTTCAAATAACAATGATCGAATTTTATTATTTGACGTGGATTCATTGAGTGGAAATGGTTTCATATTTTCAATCTTCCTTGGATCCATTTATGGCTTACAAATATTCTAGAAGAATGGACATCGGGTTGTTACTTTAAAAAAAAATTTTTTTTTAAAAAAAAGAAGTCGATAATTAATATGCACCTTTGATCTCTTAAGAATGTGTTCTTTTTTCGAGTCTTTACTCATAAAAAATTTATTGCTAAGAACTTGAGTGTCCTAAAACATGTAGTTCTATGACTGCCAAAAAGTGTGGATCTGAAAACGATACGACAAAAGCGTGTATTTTAAGAGCCGTTGGTGTGCGCAGTCCTGGAAAACGATGTCATTGGTCATTGAAACAATACGTGCACGCATTGTACTTGCTTACAAATTTTTTATGTTGTGTCATTTAAACATACTTTCACTAATGAGTTAATATTGACACCATACTCCCTTATTTACATTTAGATCGCGTTTTTACCAAAGTGACGAGTGTGTATGGTAAATTACCATATATCGTACTTCTAATGTACGTACGCATATAGATTATGCACTGCGCATGGAATAACAGCGAAAAACTTACCTATTAAGTATTACAATGATAATTACGCATATGCATACCCCAGCTATACTACGATACGTAATTTATTTTACTCATCCTAACACCCTTATGATCCATTTTTTTAAAACAATAAGCTGTACTGTATAGTGATGATAATAGTAAGTTAGTATCAAATACTCTTTAGCGTTATAATAAATCACAAAGCGATAACCTTTCCTGTAGACTTACTGCTATAAACTATCCTCCGGTTATTAAAAATTTATTCTTCAAAATCTTTTGAATTTCTTATTTTTGAATTGTAAAACGTATCAACTTTTCATGTTTTAATTGTATATGCAGGGCCTATTGCACAAATACAGTATCTTCTATATGTAGATAAAAATATTTATACTATTTTTTTATTGATGTTTTTAAATGATCATATATACAATAGCTTACTAAAGTAACGAATCACTTATCAAATAATGTTTAATATCAAATATTCTTAATTAATTATTACCTTGAAAATTTATAGAAAATAATTAAAAAATTTTTTTTAAGAATGTTATTAGTCTCTTTTGGTGTTTCATTAAACGGATATAAATTCAATTGTTACATATTAAAATTAAAAAACAATAATTTTTAATTTATAAAATTTTCTAGTAATAAAAAATTGTTTTAAAACTATTTAAAATACTCATTCTTTTTTTTTATTATCATTACTTATAAATCATTTTATTTGTAATTACGTATTTATAATAATAATTGATGTTTTATTTTGATTTTGATTTTTCAATCAGGTTAACATAAATGTTTATGAATGAATCAATACAATTAAAAAAATAAGTATATATATAAATTTACTTGATTCGATTTTATTTATTCATTAACAATACAAGGCTTTTAAATATAATTTAAAAAAATAATAAAATTATTTTCCTATAAATAGAAAAAAATTAAAATTATTAATATCTTATACTGCAAGTTTATTATTTACAAATTATTAAATTAAATATTATAAATTCAAATTATTTTTATTAAATTATTTAAAATAAAAACAAATCCAATAATTTAATTTTTTAAAAATAATAATAATTGATTTACATATGATAATAACAAAATTTTTTTAATACATAATTGTAAAAAAAATAGTTAAAAAATTAGAAAGCATGAAACTATTATATTTATCATTTTTTTTATATTAAATATTATTTTCTATATTATTAAAAAATTTTTAATTATTTTTATTATAAATATTTATATACCATATACTTATATATAATAATATATTATTCTCTTATATTTAAAATTATTTTTTATTATAATAATAAAAAATAACAAGTTTGTCATCTACATATAAGTTTAATTGTAATATATAATTATAGATAAATAAAAATATGATATTGAAAAAATTGAATATATAGAAATTTGTTATACAAATTAAGTTTATATATTAAATAAATAAATATACAGTCAAACCTGGATATAACGAACCTGTTTATAACGAAGCTATAATAAAATGCTGATTATAACGAATTTTTGAATTTTGAATTTACTCAAAATTCATTATAAAAAGAGAATTTTATTATATAAATTTTTAAAAATTCTTTATAATGAATTTTTAAACAATTTTTTTCAATTTTTACTAATTAGCCCAAAGGCTTCGTTATATCCAGGTTTGACTGTATTTGCTTATAAAAATAAACATATTTGCTTATAAAAATAAATACATATTTATTGTTTTTATTATTATAAAATTAAATATACGTATTTATATATTGAATAAAATTTTTAAGACATAAAAACTTTGCTATTAATTTTAATTAATTTAATTTAATATAAATTTTAATTTTACTATATTTATTATAAGAGAAATATTGTACTATCTTATAAAAATAATTAAAATATTTATATATTTTAAATACTTTTTATCAAAAAAATAAATCACTTTTTATTATCATGAATAACTTTAACTAATTTTAAAGACAACTTTTTTTTAAATAAGTATTAAATTAAAATAACTCTAGGCTAGAATATTCTTTATATTATAAAGTTTGTTATATTAAAATAATATAGGTTTTTATAAAAGTTAAACTGAATTTTTCTTATATAACCTTTCTTACTTTGACTTGTTTTTAATTTGCCATTATTAAAAAGATAAAAGATTCTATTTTTATATAGTTTAACTAAATTTAATTATAATTAGGAATTATTGGATACAATATATATATGGATAATTATTTTAAGATTTAACTTTATTATTTTATAATTTAAAATTCAAAATTATATAATAACTTATAATATAGGTCTTAAAATAAACTAATATAATGATTTTTATTAAATATTTAAAAACTTTTTCCACTGATTCTTTTATCAACTCAAAAAACAGATGTTCTCAAAAGATTTTTGTCTTTATAATAATAAAGTCTATATATTTTCCTTAAAACAAAACTAGTTTTTAACCAGCCAAGTAAGCAGAAGCTATCACTTGTTTTATTTTTCTTTTTCAAAATACTTTTCTTGTTTATTTTTGCAACTAAATACAAGAAACCTATCTAAGAGGTTTATGGCAAGAACACCTTTATATAAAGAAAGCTGACAAGAAAAAACACCCTCCAAAAACTCCCAAAAGACTTAAGAATCCAGAAAAACAAAAACAAAAAAGTCTCTAGCCTTTCCATCATCTCTTTGGCTTCCCACTTTTTTTTCTCAAGCATGCTTCCTTTTTTCTGGTTTTTCTAGGAAATTCTGCCTATCTCAATTTGATTCTGAATTTTTTGATCACATCAGATTTCCTGAAAAATGATTGGTTAAGATCACAAATTGGTTGATCACACTAGCCACAGAAAATGTAAACAAGACATGTACTCCTCACATGTTTCCAGTTGTGCAATACTAAACTGATGATATGATTGGTTTCCAAAAAAGTTGGATGGTTTTTAGTTGAAGGAATAGTATGGGAGTATTAGATAAAGTTGAAGTTGTAAGTAGAAAAAAAGCAACTTTTTTTTGTTCCTATCTTTTTTATTTTCTTTTTTTCCCTATTCTTTCTTAAAAACAAGAAGTAGCAACAAGATATAAGTCTTATCCCAATCTAGTAACAAGTTGAAGTACTGATATTTATCTCGAAAATGGTTGAAAAAAAGATTTTGAAACTATCCACTGATTAAATGAAGCAATAATTCTAGAAAATATGACTTGGAAGAAAAATCAACAATAAAAAACCAACATTCTTTCTGGTTCGAAGTTTTCAAGCATAAAGTCTCAAGAAATACTTTCCTGAAAGTATTCTTAACCATTCTTGGACATTGACTACTCCAATAAAAATTAAACAGTTCTACTGGCTACAGGTAATAAGAAGTATACATATGGCATAAATTATTTTGCTGTTGACTCAATTCCTAAAATCCTCAAAAATAATTGTGTTATGACTTAATTATTTATATGTTTTAATAGTGACTCAATTAATTGCATCAAATAATTGCGTCAATTGTGTCAAGGATCTATGAATTTTAGCAACATGTATAGTAAGAAGTGAGAAATCATAAGGGGCTTGGGTTTTTAAAGTTTACAAAAATAATCTCTTCAATGATAGTTAGAATAGACAATAACTTTTTTTCATTCTTTTGTTTAAAAAATTTCTTTTTTATTTCTTTTTTTCTTGCATAGTTACTACAAGAGAGGGTGACACAATTTGAGTTTATAATTATGACTATAGAAGTGATCTGCAGGTTTTGATCTTACTGAAAGTTTGGGATCTTAATCTCATCCTTTAGGAAAACAATATCATCGCCCCCATAAATCACATCTAAAGACTTCAGCTGTTGACGAGTGAGTTAAGTTATGGAAATATATACTTTGCATGGATTCTCAACTTGTAATGGTTCTTTATAATTTAATAAATAAATGACACCAACCTAATTGTGGGATTAAAAAAAAATCAATATAATTTTTTTTTCTTTTTTTAAATTTTTTTTTAATAATAAATAAATATTTTAATTAAAAATAATATAAAATAATAATAAATATAATAATATAAAATAAAACTTACATAAGAAAAAAATGGCTAGATTTAAGATCATATACAGTGGTACCCAAAATTATTTGGAATTTTTTAGAGTGATGATTATCAAACGTAATTTCGTAACTACAAAAGGT